GAGCAGCCCGAGCACCGGGAGCGGTGGAAGCATCCCGAGCACCGGGAGCGGTGGGAGCAGCCCGAGCACCGGGAGCACCCTGAGCACCGGGATGCAGAGCGCGCTGGTCCTGGCGGTGCGGCACGGCGGGCGCACGGAGCGGGGCGGCCGCCGCCGCAGCGAGCCGGAGGAGGCCGACAAGGGCAGGATGAAGAGAACGATGTGAGTCCCCCCGCCCGCACGCTCGGGAAGCGTTTTCCTTGCCTTCAGGGGCTGTGGGTGACTCCCGCTGCCGGAGCCGCCTCAGGGGACAGCGCTGCTGTCTAAAGCTCTGCGAGCTGTCATCTTTAACGAGCATCTCCCTCTTCTTCCTTCCAGCATTAAAGATTGGAAAACAAAGTTGAGCTACTTCCTTCAGAACTCTTCCAATTCTAACAAAAGGAAATCTAAGAAGGCAGGGAAGCACCGCAACTACTTCAGGTAAGTTAGGAGAAAGACTGTTTAAATAACTCGAGTGTTCCTCAAGAGCAGTAAAGCTTGAGCAGCGTAGTCTGATGTTCTCCCTCTCTTTCTGCAGACCTTCCCCTGAAGAGGCCCAGCTGTGGTCAGAAGCCTTTGATGAACTTCTTGCTAACAAATGTAAGTTTCTCTTCAAAAAGTAATATTTGGGAGCAAAGGGATGGAGAAGTTTTTGTGTCTAAGAGTCTGCTTCCTTCAATGTCAGCATTGTACCTCTCATGGAAAGAGCTCTAATTCTGGTCTTGGAAGTTAAATGCTTTTAACAGTTTAAAGCCAAAATATATATAAGTGAGTTTTTTTAATAAGAAATGTTAACTAATAATGAAACAAATAATACCTCCATAGCTAAAATCATACTTGTCAGCTTGGTTTTGCCAAATGAGAAAAGGGCATTTATTCCCTGAGATCACTGCATAACCAAACCAAGTGCTTTCCAGTAATGTGGGAAGGATTCTGCAACACAAGTTCAGTGATCTTGGGGTTTTACCGTAGCTGTACAAGAAGCAGCGTTCACTAGCAAAGCAAAAAGACTAAGAAACAATACTACTATTTGCTCTTTGAGCTTGAGTCATCCTTTCCATTGAAAGAATATTCCAGACTATGGTAGTCATATTTACTGCAGTGCAAAGGTTAACAAAGGAGAGCTTATCTAGAGAGAAATGTTTTTTTTTAATGCATTCTCAGGCATCACAGGAGGAAACATAACAATAGAAATGGTTTAATTTTTTGTGTTTGCCTAAGAAATGGCAAACTCAAAGTGAAACCTGCCAAACTGTCCAAGCATTAACTTGCTTTCAAACATAAATTATGGAACCTTTTTATTGCCATGATATCGCTGAAAAAAAAATAGACCTACAGCAAAACATCCTGAAATTGATGTGAGGAATAGGTAAAATCAAGATTCCTGAAATTGTTTATTGATGGTGAGTATTTTTTTCTTTCCTTAGATGGTCTTGCTGCTTTCCGAGCTTTTTTGAAGTCTGAGTTTTGTGAAGAGAACATTGAGTTCTGGTTGGCCTGTGAGGACTTTAAGAAAACTAAATCACCCCAAAAGCTGACATCAAAAGCAAAGAAAATCTACAATGACTTCATTGAAAAGGAGGCTCCCAAAGAGGTAAAGAAAAGCTGCTTAAAAATAAATTCTCTGTTCTATGAGTTTTTACAGCCATTATTTCTCTGAACTGAAGACACAGATGCCAAACTGCATTGCACATAAGCTCATGGTTAATGTCTGGGTCTGGATACAACTGCCTTTTCACCAAACTGGAAAATGGCAGAAGCAGTGTTGCAGAGAATTTCCATTTTAACTGACAAAAGATGTATTTGAATTAGTTTTGCTTTTGTGCAAAAGAAGAATTTTCTTGCAGAAAAGTATCTTAAAGAGAATTTCTTAAAGAAAATTCTCCAGTAATTTGACCCTACAGTAATGGGGTCTTGCCTTTTTCACCTTTTCAGAAGTTGTACTGTGCATTACACTTACTTGAATTATGTTCTCAGGAATAATGTCCCTCTTTCTGTATTTCAGATAAATATCGACTTCCAGACCAAGAGCATGATTGCACAGAACATCCAGGAAGCCACCCATACCTGCTTCAGCGCAGCCCAGAAGAGAGTTTACAGCTTAATGGAGAATAACTCCTACCCACGCTTTTTGGAGTCTGAATTCTACCAGGAACTGTGCAAGAAGACACCTATCAGCAGAGCAGCCCAGGGCACATGAGTGATGGAGAGGAGGGAGAAGCAGCCTCTGGGCTGGCGAGGAAGCCAAGCCACGGCTCACGAGCAGCATCCTGACCCGAAAGGCTGGAGCACTGAGCACTCAGTGTGTTTGCCACAGTGCAAGGACAAACGCTGCCTCGGGTGCAGAGCTGCTGGCCCAGAGTGCCGCTGTTGGAGGGTGTTCAGGGGAGCTGGCAGCAGTGGCAGCCAGCTGCAGGCTCTGCCCTTCCCTGCAGCGAGAGGTGGCCGTGCAGGAGCCCTTCTGTCACTGCCCAGGAGCAATGCGGCAGGTCCGGACAGAGCTTCCTTCTTGGGAACAGAAGCTGCTCTCTGCACTTGGGCACTGCTGGGAACTTGAGTAATTGCCTATTTATTTTTCCTAAACATCCCCCAGCGCCGCTGTTGTCAGGCTCGGTGTGCTCACACCGGTTCTGTTGCTGCCTGGAGCTGCCAAGAGCTGTGCTGGGTTTCTGTGCAAGCTCCTCACAGTAACAGCACTGTGAGGGGAGGAAGGGATAGAATAACTCTGTTCCCAGAGGAACAGGTTCTGCAGCTGAAGTATGCAGGGCTGGGTTGTGTCAGCAGGGCTGTGCGGGGCCAGACTGAGGGCAGAACTTGGCCAAGGCGAACAGGAGCTGTATAGTATTATATTTATATGTGGATTATGATTGTGTTGAATGCTGCAATGTCATAATTCTGTCTTGAAGACAGCAAGCTTCAGTGAAGTATTGTTTTTAATAAACTATTTTGATACAAAGCTTCTTTTGTTGCCTAATTTGTGTTGCACACACAGGTACACAGAGAGTATGGAGACTGTGGGTCCTGGGTGAGATCTCAATAGGGCTAATTTTAAAGCCACTCGCTCTTAATCTATGAAGTGAGTTTTCTGGTTGGGTTTTGGCAAGAGACTAAAAACCTGCAGAGCTTGAAAGCTTAACAGGGAGACAGTGTTGAACCACATCCTCTGTCCCAACAAGTCTGTGAAGCAAGCCTCTAAGACATGTTAGGCATACATTCAGCTATCTGAATATCTATACCAGATTACACAGAGCAGCAGTGCTGCTGTAGCTCACAGGATGCCACTGGGAACATGGGCACCCATTGTACTGTACCTGCTCCTGCCCCAACTCTGCTTCAGAAAGGGTTTAGGAGGACTTCAGTATCACAGAACCTGTGCAAAGTCAGGAGAGGCAATAGTACAATAAAGGCATTTGACTCCCAGCTACGTGACAGTTGCTTAGGGGAAAGTCTCTGGTCATTGTTATTCCATTGCTCAATTCACAGCTTTGTTTATTTCACAGGTAACCACAGCAGTCACTTCAGTAACACTCCACTTTTCCAAGCCTTTTCAAGAAAATTTTAACAATGGTATTTTCTACTTCAATTATACATCCAAAAAGCCGTTCAAAAGCAACTCCTTCAGATCTGTATATGTGCATTGCAGGAGAGGAGCCTACAGGAAAGATGGAGGGGGACTTCTCACATGAGCATGGAGTGACAGGAAAAAGGGCAATGGATTCCAACAGAGTAGGCCAGATTAAATTTGATATTAGGAGATGTGAGCTATTAGATTAGATATTAGGAGGCAGTGCCTTGCCCTGAGGGTGCAGAGGCACTGGACCAGGTAGCACAGAGATGCTGTGGCTGCCCCATCTCTGGGGGTGCTCAAGGCCAGGTTGGACAGGGCTTCGAGCAGCCTGGTCTGGTGGGAGGGTCCTTGCCACCCTGATCGTATTCTGTGAGAGCCAGCTCTCATGCAACTACATTTGCTGATCAGTTAAGTCTGCATAAAGAAAGCACAAGAAAAAGCCATCCTGATTATTTCCTGCAACAGAGGTTTTTTTACTAACAAAGGAAAACAAATTTGGGCTGATAATTGCTTTTGTGATATAACAAAATAAAAAAAATAGCCAGAAGTATACCTATTAAATACTCAGACCTGGGGCAGGAATAATTCCATGAAGATTCAACTGTTCCAATTTGGGATGTGGTAATTAACCACTGCTGGTGTCTGGTTTTAAGGAAATAAACATTTCTAGTTTCAGCAGGTGCCTGAACTACTTATAGCACAGTATGTAGAGGAAATTAAATGGGGCTGTTAGGCCTGGCATCCCTGCCTGAGGCTCTCCTGGGGTGTTTTTAAAATCTGACTCATGAGTATTGAGCTTTAGGAGGGCCATGCAGGCAGTTCTGCAGCTGCCACAGAGCGAGCCACTGGGCTGGCAAAGCAACCAAGCCTTGCTGAGTCCCTGGCACAGTCTGTCAGCAGCACAGAGGGGCCTGGCTCCAAGGCCAAGCTGTGCAGCAAAACAACCCAGTGTATCAACAGCAAAAAAACCCAAAACACCAAAAAAACCAAAACAAAAAACCTCACAAAAAACCTCACAAAAAACCCCCCATCATTTTAGTCAAATCTAACATACAATGGTCCTTCCAATTGCTGCTTTTTCATTTTTAATCTATTTTCCCAACTCCTAGAAGGCAGCTTCACTAGAAAACCAGGTACTACATGCAAATTGGGAGTGCTGCAACCTGAGATATTGCTATGAACATTTCCTGTGGAAATAAAACCCCAACAATTGTTTTAACAATTGCTGGTTCTGCACTCCTGGCAGCCTTGCAGCTGCCATAAAAATTGGAACTCTGGTATCAGTATCCAATGGCAACAAGTAATAAACTGCTCCTTCCCCCACAGCCCATCCACATTCACACACCCCACTCCCAGCAGACTGCCCACAGCCAAACACGCGGTGATGGCAGGGACAGGACCGGCGTGGGGACAGCAAGGGCGGGGTGACAGAACTGGGGGCCTGCAGGCTGAGGTGTGGGTGCTGCTGGCCAGGGCACTGTCCCTTTTTTAGAATCCATCAGATTACCAAACTGCTCCTGCCCATATTCACTGTTTGGGTTATGGGCTGGAGCTGCTGAGGCAGAAACATAAGAAGGATCTCAGTGAATAGCTGCAAAGGAGCACAGAACCTGGAGCAATGTGTAAACAAGCCTGGCACTCACGGGGAACATGCTGCAAAGAGCAGAGGAGTGAGAAGTGGGCACCTGCAGGAGGCCACCCCAGCACCTGGGTGCTGCCTGCAGCCACACAGCGAGCCCAGACTGACCCCGAGCAAGTCGCTGCCAGCCCATCCTAACACATCTAACATCTTACATCATCCTAACACAGCTGATAACTGCACACAGGTCTGAGGATCTGGAATTGCTGAAACACCCCAGCAAACCTGGAATAACAGCAACTTCTAACTATCCACATACCACTGCTTTTAAACCAGTGTCATGATAGTTGGTGTTCTTCTTAGCTGCTAGAGGCAAGCGGTTTCCCTACTCATGTATCACAAAAATATACACCTCTCACCTTTATGACAAGAGAAATTCAAAATTGCAACTGGAGTATCTCTAGCAATTCCTCAAACAAGAACTTGATGCAAAGACTACACAATTATTTTAGAAAGCAGTAAATCTAATTTTTTAAACCAAACACATGATTTTTAGTAACTAGGTCAGGAGTTTCAGCTGACCACATCCAGCAACAATTTGGGTTTTGAAGGGCTTACCCTGACACCACAGCACAGGAAAGCTGATGGACAGTCCTCCATGCTGCCAAGAGGCAACATGTAAATTAACCTTCTAAAGCACAGCTCCAAGGCTGCTGACCCTCATCAAGTGCTCCGTGGCACAGAGGCTGGAGAGGGCCTCTGAGAGCAGGGTGAGCTCAGCAGCGAGGATGATTCACCACTCCAGGAGAATGGGAAAGCAATGCAGTAAACAAATGGCAGTGCAGGGACATTGCTCCACGGATTTGTGTATTGTGGCTGAAAGATAAAACCAGACTATAAATACAATCTGCTTCTTCACTTGAAATTGCAGCTCTCCCTTTGGAAAAGGGGACAGTAATGATGATTCAAAGGGTTGTATAGGCACGTATATATGTGTGTGGAACTTTGTAATCTGGCAACTTGAACAGACAAGAAATGTGACCTTTAGAAATAGTTTTAGGATCTTGATGGCTTGTGGTTGGGTTTTTTTGGTTTTTTTTTGGTCCAGATTTTACTTACTGTGATTCAAGAGGGGGAAAACTGGTCAGAAGCTGGGACAGCATCCCAAATTCAATTTCCTTCAGGTGGAACAGCTAACATGTGCCAGGGAGCAGCAAGGCTTCTACATCAACACAAGGTGCACCCCAGAGACAGGCTAGAAGCAGGGCTGGGAACAGACCTACCTGCAGCATGGGGTGTTGATCCATCTGGGAGCAGGAGCTGTACGGGAGGCTGCACCTACAGCAACATTCTGGGGGAAATGGAGGCACCTCTAGGCTGAGCTGAAATGGAGCCCCCTCCAATGGGCAGCAGGAGAGGGGTACAGGAGAGACTGGTCAAGGCAGTTAAACCCATCAGTGCCCTCAGGGCCCTGACACAAATATGTCAGGAGATGTCCTTTTCTGAGGGGTCCTGAGCTGTCCATATGAGCCCATCAGCTCAGACTGTTTCTGAGGAGGCTCCGCAGTCAGTTTTGTGGTGAACACCCTCCACAATTTGCTTCATTGAGTTCTTTAGCTGTGCTAATTGACATTACCCTGAGTGCCTTGACTGGGAAACGAGGGCTGGCCAGTCCCACTGTTAGCCTACGTAGGAGTTTCAAATGTGAGTCCTTTGGCAATCTTTCATTAAAATAATCATTTAGATCAGAGTTTCCAACAGCTACAAAGTACCCATGAGCAGCAATTAAAAAATGTTCCATTAAAAATATTAAATATTCCATTCAAGATAATCTAATTGACATAAATTAGTACTTGTGTTCCCCAGCCAGTTTTCCCACTTGGGATCTTGTGGAATAAGTTGCGTTTCTGCGTTACAGATTTAGACCAGCGGCTTTTTGGATGCGAGCCTGCTTTTGGGCTTCCAGGGGACATGGTACTATTATGATATTTACAGGGCTCGGAAAATCGGCTGTCCAGTATGGAAAAGACATTCGGGAGCAGAGTGGGCAGTTTAATGAGCTGGTGTGTCCCTTTGCCTTTGGGGTGTCTAAGGGAAATGGAAATACCAGGAGCACGGCAGAGGGGCTGTGCCGGCACCTCTTGACCCGAGCATCGCTGCCGAAGGCCCGGGGGATTGCCGGGTTTGCTGGGAGCAGGCGGAGCTGGTGGGGCTGAGCCCGGGAGCTGTCCCCCGTGTGCCGGGGACACCTCAGCTGTGGCAGAGCCTGCAGGGCTCCCCGCTCTCTGCGATCTCCGTGCTGGCAGATTCTGTGCCGGGCGAGGCTGCCCTGGCCGGCCGCTGCCCGGGCTGTGGGCACAGGAGAGCCGTGTCCTGTGGGGAGAGAGGAGCCGTGTCCTGTGGGCAGAGAGGAGCCGTGTCCTGTGGGCACAGGAGAGCCGTGTCCTGTGGGGAGAGAGGGGCCGTGTCCTGTGGGGAGAGAGGAGCCGTGTCCTGTGGGGAGAGAGGAGCCGTGTCCTGTGGGGAGAGAGGGGCCGTGTCCTGTGGGGAGAGAGGGGCCGTGTCCTGTGGGCAGACAGGAGCTGTGTCCTGTGGGCAGACAGGAGCTGTGTCCTGTGGGCAGAGCGGGGCCGTGTCCTGGGGCCGTGTCCTGTGGCCGTGTCCTGTGGGCAGGGCAGAGCCGTGTCCTGCGCTCGGGCCCTGCTGTTTGCTGTCCCCGGTGTCTGCAGTGGGCTGGGGAGGATTGCCTGCCGGGCAGGACAGCGCTCTGCAGCCGCCTGCAGTGCCATCGGCACACCCAGATGTGTTTC